TTGAAAATATTTATTATGTTCTTATCGGTAACAAAATAAAAATAAACATTCATATGCAGTACCCCCAGTTGGAAAATCAAAATACTACATTTACATTTACCTTTAATGTACCAGTGCTAATAACACGATTGTGCAGTATTATAGCGAAAGCTGAGAGTTTTGGTTTTAAGGGGTATTCAATTCCTTTATAAAGACCAACATTTTGAAACACACACCCCTCCCCTGCTTCTATTGTATGGAATACTAATCCGAAAACTAATACAACAGAAAGTAAACATTTATACAGTAAAATTTATTTTTGTCATTTTATTCCCCACGTAAATCGCCTCTGCATACAGGAAAGCTGAGCTGATATTGTCAATTTTGCTGTTTTATCTACAAGTAGATAATTTATGGCACGTGCACTTGATGTCATCAAATCTGCACGTGTTATGTGGATTTTCATCAACTAGTTTGTATTTTTTATTTTAATGGCTCTTTTCAAAATATGAAAAATGTCTTACAGCAATCAGCAAGATCCTCCTTGGACTCAGATATCGAAATAATGCAATGAGGTTTTATACCAATGACTAAGTAAATTTAGGGAGAAAGCCATCTTGTCGTGGACGTGGAAACCAGCCTCCTAGCCACGGATAAGCCAGGTGTGTCTCTTCCCTCCTGTAGATATCTCAGTATATCAGCAGGGTTGGTATTTCACCCAGACACTTCACCCATCAGTCTGTGTGGAAACGGCTACCGAACACACGATAATTGCCGATAGTGGCTTGGAGTTTATAATTATTGTACGGACTTAAATTGTGTAGGACTTGCGCTTTTGTCTGAATGGTATGTTCTACAGGGATATCTGTGATATGCTGCAGTCAAATAAATCTGGAAATCTAGGTCCGGGTAAGACGTACTTCACTGAGAATTAACTATCAAAATTTCCTGCCAACCGGATGGCCTTCTGGTTTGAGTGACGGCCTACGGAGCGGGAGGACTTGGGTTTAAACACGTCCGGGGACATACCAGTCCTTTATAAACGATACTTGCTGTCTCCCCGCTTGGCACTAAGCAATAAGGGGTTGAAGCAGGGGCAGTGGAGAATTGATAAGTTTGTTAGCTCCGAGCGCCCAATATGGCAGCCGGGCTGTATCCCCCCCAGGGAGGTGAGAGCAACTATAGAGTGCAACAGGTCCAAAAATGACCAGGCTTCTCTCACTTAAGTAAATTCAATTTAAAAATAAATAAATAAAAAAATAAAAAGGTACATATATATATATATATATATATATATATATATATATATATATATATATATACAGACTTGACATTTAATATGGAATATTTCAGTTTCGAAGGTATATCTAGGTAAAAGACGTTCTTTTTTCAAAAAAACTCCGATCTCATATAAGATTTGTGAATGTAAAAGTGTGCAGTCAGGTGTGTCACTACCAATTAACTGACTTTCATGCCTGTTGCGCTGCTACATTTTGTAATGTGCAGTGATTTCATTGGGTAGTGTTCCTTTGGGCTGATCAAAGCTTGGCTTAGGCAAAGCTTGGTTCTGTCAAAAAAGTATCCATATTTCGGCAACTACTGCATAGAAGAATTTGAAATTTTGCATGCAAGCGGTCAGTTTTGCAGTGCGTAAGATGAGTCAAGTAGTGCATTACAAATTTGTTAATCTAAGGCAGAATGGCTCGAGAAAGACAGACATAACCAGACAGATCATAGCGCCAAACGGAACGGTCCCCACAGTTTTATAGAGTAATGCCCAGACTGATGTACCTACACAGAGGTCACCCCCAATGTATCACAATTTTACCTACAGGGTACAGGACCCACTGTCTTTCGGGATACGCTGCTGCAGCTAAACAAAAAACACTTAGTCCGATCAGAACGAGGGGTAAATTGCCACTAAAATGCGTTTTTAAAGCCCTTAGCGAACACCAAACTGGTTTTAGCAGGTGAGAACACCAAATGACCTTCGAGGTACCCACTGTATACAGCAAAACATCGTCGTCTGTTTCTCTAATGAATCGGGGGCCATGAACGATTCTGGGTAGAACAATGAAACTGCGTGGCTTTCTTTATTGAGGTCAGATTTCACCTGTACCGCCCAATTAGTCAAAACAGAGTTTACAGATATCCAGAAGAGGCCTACGACGAAGCATATGCCGGGCCTTAAGTGTCAAGGGTGATTGGCAGCGTCAGTATTTGGAGTAGATTCCACATTGGTGCCAAAACACCAATGGTAGTCATCGACGAAAACCTGAACCAGATCAAATAAAGGAGTAATCTCGGAACCAATTGTCTTTCATTGGATAGGGGGCACCTTAGGAACAATTCTAGGTTGCACGATGAGGTTGCAGGTTCACACAGAGCACTTTTAATAGCAGATAACTTACAGAACCAAGGGAATGAGCAGATACCCTGGTCATCAAAATCGCCACATTTGAACCACATAGACAATATTTCGGTAGACCATTACTCGCCAAACAACTGCCTATATGTCCTACAACAAAACTGGACCAGATTGGACAATTTTAGACCGTTGCCTGGAATGCTATTCCAGATTGAACTCTAAAAACTTACCCCCAAGAAATGCCTTGCCGCTTGAGAGCGCTGGCAACAGCCACGAAGAAGCCAGGCGTTACAATGACCATTACTGTGACTAGCAACTGACATGAGGGTCTTTTGTGGAGCGTATTACCCGTTTACAGACGATAATTTGTAAAATATGGAGATTCAAAATATCTCTTTTAATGGTTGTCGTATGACTTAGAGTATAGGCAATGTGTTTTTTTTTTTTGCTTCTCTGGCGAATTCCATTAATGAACTGATGTCACAATGACATCAAAGAGATAATTTAAAGTTATTAAAACACGATTTTAATCCTTATTTTCATTTATCAGTGAGCAAAATAGGAAAAAACTGATAAAAAATTATTTCGAAAAAAATATTCCATATTAAATGTCAAGTCTGTATATTGGCTTCGAAACAAAGGACACTAAAATTTGAACCGCAAGGTGTGAAGTATTGTCTGAAGCTACTTATACAACATGGATTCCGATGTATAAATTTTATGAAACAATGGCTTCCTCTGATTGAGTTAATACAACATCATGTATGGAAGTTTCAAAAGTACTAATTACACTTTTCGTATACTGTGGTTCCTGTCAACGTGACTCTACCTCTCGTTCTAGATCTATTTTAATAAAAACTCTTATTCATTCATTTGTTAATTTGTTTGAAAGATTCAATTATTCAAATGCATTCCATTTGTCTTGGATATTTATCTTAAATAAAGAAAACTACTCTGATAAAATTGGGTTATCAGTTTTATTGATAAAGAAAAACACCTTGATTACACACCAAAATATAGCTATGTTGTATTGCTGTTTTCGATCATCGTACTTTTCACAAAATGTATTTAATTTTGTTTTAAAAATTATATTGGTTGACCTGCGTGAATAATTTATCACATAAGGGATATTTACTTAGCCTGGCGAGATTTACTTCACACATAACAGTATAGCACCATTTATACCATTGGCACCGCACGGGTATCAAACAACACATAGAGAAAATAATTTAACTTAAAAAACAATGTGAACTTTTTTCATTCATCTATTTATGCAGTCTGAACCCTGTCACACGTTGTGGGGAACCCCCTTTAGACCATCCCGGGGCACTACATTACATTAGATAACCCTTAATAATAAAACCCCAGGGTTTGGGTACAATGGCCTCACATCTCTGGATAAAGCTATTTATAATACTGCTACAGAGATTCCCAGGTTCTGTGTCTTAAATTCTGCACACAGAAAAAAATAAAACGACTCCATGTTGTAACTTCAACAGAACATATTTAGCTACACTAAAAGTTACATGATGCAAGTATGACTACTCTCTCCTCCTCTCTTCATCTCCTCTACATATTGTTCTCCCCTTAGATTTAGGTCTACACATTTTATACTAAACTTTATCAATTAAACTGTCCATCACATAACTTGAAAAATGATTGGTTACTTCAGACACAAGTCCACCCCCTCATGGTGGGCACTCCTTATAACTCTCTGTAATCAAGCTCTAACATATTATTGGCTTCGAAACAAAGAACACTAAAATTTGAACCGCAAGGTGTGAAGTATTGTCTGAAGCTACAGACTTCCACTATGATAGCCACACGGCAGATACGAACGTGGTGACGATAGATGACATAAAAAAATTAAACAAGTCAGAGCCTGGATGATGCTGATCATTAGTCTGAAATGCATGAATTCCTAAATAAAGGATGCTTTGATTATTTTCCTGTATGCACAAAATCAATATTTTATATCGTTACCCTTAACAGTAACAGACCGCACCACTACATCCACACTCAGGCGAGAGAGGATTTAAAGGACAAGATTTGGACGTGGTCAATTCTAAACTTTAAAGTTTAAAAGGCTTAAAAATTCAGTCTTCCTAAATAAAGGACACCTATTCAAAAACATCTATAATCTGGCACTTTCACGGATATTCTTTTTTTACGATTCTCCTTGACCTTTAGTTTGACTCACATATCATCTGAAACCCTAGAATCAAACTTAAAGGGATAATAACTCTTCGTATGAGGTCTATATATCACAATTAAAACATTGGGAATAATTCACAGAAATATAATAATTTTATTGAGCATTAAAATGTTTCAGTACATTTTGCAGGCCCTCTTAACTACTTGTATATATATATATACATTAAGTACAATCTAGACCTATTATCACAATAAAAAATAAATAAATAAATAAATAATAATAATAATAATAATAATAATAATAATAATAATAATNCTGATTCATTGTGTGTTTCGTTTCTGATTCAATCTCAATGTAACTCCACATGATTAAGTAAAGCACCCCAAAAAGAAAAAAAGATACCCAAAAGGGATCAGTTTCGATTTCTGACTCTAAAAATAGGTCAACTTGTCGACTCAGTCATTGTCGTAATTGGATAGAGACCATTGTTGATATTGACCTAATTTATTGGACTTTGGAGGGTGGACCTACACTAGCACCAGTATAAACGATAAAATACAATATTTAAAAACCTATTTAACAAATTTAAACCTGACATTAGAACTAGTAAGTAGAATTCATATGTATTTAAATCTCTCTCTCTCTCTCTCGCTCTCTCTCTCTCTCTCTCTCTCTCAACATATTCACACACACGCGTAAAACCTCAAAGATTAACACCAGCTACAGAAACAAAATTTAGAAGTATTTTAATATTATAAAACTTATCAAATTCCACCCACTAAATAATTATTGGGAAGAAAGAAAGATAAAGAAAAGGGTGGGGGAATACATGTAGTGTATCAATAATCATTTGCTGTAGCCCCAGGCTCATCTCACTGCTGAGTCCAGTAATTGAACATTTTGAATTGTTAGCAAATACATATATATGCTTTTCATTCAGCTGAGATGTTAACTTGTCACATTAAGCATACTAAATAAGAGCAAGGCCTAAAATTTAGGTTAATCACATACTCTTTGTACACACCTAAGTTAATTATACTTCCAGACCTATAACATGTAATGGCTTCCCGAGGAAAGGCAGAGACTACCAAATTAAAACAAAATTTAGAAGAACAATTAGACAGATTGATTCAGCAGCTGAAAGATTTGGAAGAATGCAAGTAAGTGTTTGAAAGAAAATGCACAGATGCAGTTTTGTTTTAAGTCAACAATTACTATTATTATTATCATTATTTTATTTATTTATTTATTTTTTTGATTGTCATAAAAATTGTGGGCTGGCACATGAGTAGATTTGTCAGTAAAACTCATACACTGCACAGTGCACCATAATATACAAGCAGAATATACTGTAGCAATAAGTCTCATGTCCTATTTACAGTTTCTGATAAAGGTTAAATTTGTTTGTGCTAATAACATACTGCTATAGAACAAATCAGAAAGTGTAAATAGTGTAAGTGCTAATAATTCTGTAGTGATTGTTCAAAGCCAGAATTCTGCTGTTACAGACCAAGTTAGTATGAATTATCTCAGCAAATCGTTTGGTTTTTTTCTGTAACCATAGGAGCAATCTAATCCCCATATTGGTTTAATTGTCATTGAAGTTAGTAAGATGAGTTAAAAATAAAAGTGATAAAAAAGATAAAACACTCTAACTTGCTCTTTAACTTTCAGAGAAGACCTGGATGCAGATGAATATGAAGAAACTAAAAATGACACCATAGAACAGTTGAAGGATTTCCAAGACTCTCTAGAGAATATGATGAAGGGCAACATGAGTTTAGTGGATGAATTGAATGGCATGCAGTTGGCTATACAGGTAATGACTGTAATTATATGTTTTTATGGTAAGATGTAAGGTATGTACCAGTGGAGATTATGTGTTCAGTGAAGTTAGCTGTATAAGTTTGCATGTGCTCTACTCCCATCTTTCTCTCTCTCTCTCTCTTTCTCACACACACACACACACACACACACAACACACACATGCACTCTTTGTATTTTATCTTTATAAATGAAATTCCTATCTGTGAATCAATTTGCTAACTACATGAGGTTTTTTAAAACAGAGTTCATTTAGTGTGTAAACAATGTAAGAAGTATTGACATTAGATTTAGTGGTGTACTACTGATTTCAGGCAGCAATCAGCGAGGCATTCAAGACCCCCGAGGTCATCAGAATGTTTGCTAAGAAGCAGCCGGGGCAGCTACGTCAGAGACTGGCAGAGGTCAGTAAAACAGTGATGAGATTATAAATAATTTCTATAAGTTACAGGGTTTTTTACTATATATATCTAATATGTATCATTAATGCATTTCTGGTTGTTGATAGATGATTACTCTGTCTGTAAACACCTTGTATCCTCTTCCTTGTCTTCAGAATTTGTAATGTATATTTAATTCATTTTATATTTTTGAAAGTGCATAATTATTCGTTTTGGAAATGTGTATAAAGACCATATGGTATGTTTTATTATTATTTTTTAAATTTATTTATTTTTTATTACAGTTAGACAGAGATGCAAAGATTGGGAAGTTGTCCACAGAGCAAGCCACATCACAGTCTGTGGAAATTCTTACAGCTCTGAAAAAATTAGGAGAGTCCTTGACTCCCACTGAGGAGGCTTATCTACAGAGCAATTCCAGTGCAAGCTTAAAACAGTTTGAAAAAGTTTCTGGGACAATAGGTTAGTTTGTTATGACACATATTCTGAGCCCAAAGTAGCATGATGGTGAAATTGTACCAAATGTAAGAAAGTCCTGTTTTGGCTGGAGAAAGCATAAAACGTTTCACCATCTTTTTGCCAAATTTACCATTGACTCCATTAAAAATTAAATTTGGCAACAATTATGCAGTTATTTCGATTAGTTATTATGTACAGACACAGATGTGTCTGTATTTATTGCTATCACCTGCTTCTGTCGTTCGTTGCCGATCATGTCGCTGTCGCCGTGCACTTTCAGCGTTAACACCATAAGTGGAAGACAGTTTTACTTTTTGGCTTTTTTTTGTATTGTAGACAAATAAACTCATTCTTATATATTTTTTAATTTTTTTTTCTATTTTTATTAATATGGTTTCATGAGAAATTTGGTTGTTTCAAAGCCATAACATTGACTTCATACTGAACTGCAAACAGATGCAGTTCAACAAACAAATAAAGGTGTGCAAATATGTACTGATTATCTGACCAAACAAAACTGGTATCTCTGTTCTTGTCTCAGCCAAATGTTTTATGTCTCAACTAACACACTCAGCTCATCTCACTTAGTCCGTTTTACCTGTTGTCACACTTATTGTGATGCTTTATTGATTTGAATTTTGTACTAAATGATTTTTCATTTACAGTTTTTCACTAAACATAAGTTTACTTTTCAAAAGTTCAGACATGAATCAAGTTTACTTTGCAAAGGTTCAGACATTATTTTCAGATTTATTCAGAAAAGAAATTTGATAAAGAAATTTTGTTGTTAGGTTTGTTTCAAATTTAATGAGTAATTACTTGTAACTTTTTTCCAGCGGCTGGAGACAAGGTTTTAGAAGTGGCTGGGTCACAGGTTCAGCAAGCAAACAAGTGATTCTAGCCTGCCTGGACATTGGAGAAAGAACAGAACTTGATTTAAAAAGCAATATTTACACCAGCCTGAAGAGGGCTATTTAACAGTAAATTTAAAAATTCAAATCCCATGAAAAATGAATGCAATTTTCTACCCAAATTGTGGTAATAAAGTAAATAAACTTTCCAGTAAGTTAAATGATGTAAAGATGAGAAGATTCGATGAATTATTTGTGAGGAATGCAAGAGATAAAAAAGAGACCAGAAAATGACTTGAAGACACTGCTGAGTTCAGCAAAAATATGGCTCTATTCCATAGGCACAAAGGAAAATGGATTTCAAATCCTCTTTATATTATTATATATCTAGGTCATCTCTTCCAAACCATTAATTATTGCTGCTTTTGGTTTTGTATGTTTATAAGGCATTTGTGCAATGAGATAAGATGCCTCATTACAGCGCATTGTCAATGTTCAAAGTATGTTGCTATGTATCTACATTAATGTGGAAAATTAATGTTGGTTTACGTTTGATTGGTGTATTTATGACATTTTTTATTTCAGTCCTAAGAAGCAAAGCTAATCCAAGACACATCAGTTTGTTGTTAAAATCATACAGTACTTTATTCAACTCAAATCTGTTTTGGTCTTACACCTGCTTTGGTCTTACACCTGTTTTGGTCTTACACCACGTCATCTGACATTGTAAATTTTTTTTTGCTGTTTTATTTTGTTTCAAATAAAGTAAAAAATATATTGATGAAAATAGTAAGCATGTACTCAGAGTTTTATGACATCTCTTCGAATTCCAAAGGAGTGAATTAAACTACAGTTTTAGAATAAACTTATCTTTAAGAATCCCATGATTTTTATAAGATTTTTGAAATGAATTGTCAGTTGGGGTTTAAGAATTAAGCTTGGGGTAAACTTCCCAATTAAAACAAAATGGTCAATCGTCATCTAGTTCTACGACTATTTTTAATAAGTTTTTTCTAAATAAGTGCATGTCCTTTTGTGAGTTTACGCGTAAATAACGTACGTACGAGCGTACTGTAGCCTGCTATAAACTGTACAAAACAATAACACACTTTTTCTTTTCGCTGTTTGAAGAAATAATGTTTTAACTACACGAGCTTAAAAACAATGCATGTCCTGTAATTTTCCTCCTGGAATTTTCCATTCCAAGCTTACTGACTGTGAAGCTGGGGTTAGACAAGCATATCTAGGTCAACTGGAAGCCTCGTGGACAACAAGCTGAATACGGGCACTTCAGGGCAGATAACAATCGGAAGACGTGGTGTGTGGTCATTATCTCAAACCCAATGGAAATGTACCAAAAGGATTGTCATCTTCAGCGTTGACATGTGTCGGTAAACTTTAGAAAGCTGTTGAATATCACCCTTGTTTGATACGGTTAATGGATATCTTACAAATGGGGGTTCCTTTACTTTTTTACGTGAAGCAAGGAGTTATAACTCCTTGCGTGAAGTTACCATGAGGATTTTTTTTTTTCGATCTCTCTATTATTCACATTCATGTCGATTAAAGCAGATTCTGGAAATAAAACTTTCGGTACGCACAAAGAGTCGCTTGGAATAAATGCAGTGGTAGGACGTAGTAGTAACATATGTCATGAGAATACATATAGCTCTCGTGTGATATAAATACCCCAAAACCATGCCATATTCGTGTGCCGATATGTATACGTGCAGGTGCTTACAGGCATAAATAATTACTGCTGTAGAGGGTACAAAGGTCGTTTTAACAATTTAAGTCTAATGTCTGAGCCGTGCAGTATTGCACGTGTAAATCGCATCCGTCTGCACTGTCACAAGACACTGGTGTGATAGTGTACGGTGTTACATCTTTTGTCGTAACATTTGGACTGGACGAGTTCATTGCTCTTTCCAGGCCACTATTGTGACCCAGACAGGTCAATGTTAAAGCCTTTTAATAATGCACGTGATAACAAACTGCTGATTGGATGACCTAAATGAAAATGACCTGGTTTCAAGAGATATAGATGGCGCTTTTTCTCATACCCACCTGTAAGGAAAGTATTTTTCCTGCCATCTAGCGGCCATTTTGAGAGGTCATTCGTTGACTATATAAGCCGAGTTTTTCCATGAGCCCGTCCTCTTGTAATCTTGCACGGTTGCCAGAAGGATCCGGGCAGTTGATCAAATTTTTGCAGAACGCTGCGGCACGCTAACAGATAATACGGTAGGACTGACAGGCATTGTCTACTACTTAATGGGCTCGCATTATAATTTTATTTTTATTGTTTGCATTAATTTTTTTTGTGTCATGGCTTTGTTTTTCTTTTTATTATTTTTTTCCCAGGGTTCGCTTGTTTTGGTAAGCTGACCTATTCTCTCTACAAAAGAAACTGAACAGATATTTGTTTTTGTTGAAAATTAAATTGATATTAAACAGGAAAAAAACATTATGCAGAGTTTAAATTACTTAGTTTTTTTAATAATGAAAGGATCAGTTATAATATAATTACAATTATTGTATTTTTTTTTTTACAATTACAATTAAAAAAAATACTTAAACTTTCACCTTTCATCTGTTTAAAAAAGTATGTACTCAAGTGAACACACCTCAGGAAAAAGTTGTAAAAAAAGATGTTGGTGCTCAAGTGTCATTTTTAAATTTATAGAGCTCTTAATTACTTTTATGAAGATGGCATGAATTTTCATGGATGTAACACTTTTCCTTTTTTTTTTTATTTTTATTTTTTTTTTTTTGAAATGTTTTTTTTAATTGGTAATTTAAATTTTTTTTTAAATTATTTTTTTTCAAAGCATTGTATAATGTAATATTTGATCATTCATTACAGTTCCCCTAATTATTTCCTTACATGTGGTTATTTCCTAACATGGTAAAATGAAGATTTTTCTAACCTGCCCCCCGGCCCCCCCCCCCCCCCCCCCCCGGCTCGTCTCTTTTGTCCCACGACTTCCCTAAAAATTATAACCACAAAATATTGTGAAAGAGAGAAAAAAGGAAGTTACTTTAGAAAAAGGAATGTGTGATAAATTTGAGTGAAAAGTGCAGTTATAATCTGCCGTAAAGAATATTTAACTTTTTTAGTCAAATAGAAATGATTTTTTTCTGCATTTATTTTTTCAACGTTTTCCAAATTTGATGCCTATATTAACCAGCATTGTTGTGTATATTAATATTATCAGTTTTCTAGAAATCCAGTCAAAATGGTTAATACTTATATTTCTTCACTCACAACAATACCTTCCTCTCAAACTAAAAAAATGAAATTTGAATAGCTTCGAATTAACAAAGATAGTATCTTTGCATTTAAATAAATTCTTAATGTGTTTAATGAATAACAGTAAAATAAAACATTTTTTAAAAAAATTTTCAGGTGAGAAATCACGATGAAAGATCTTCAGCACTCTCCAGACAGGAGTCCACAAAATGGAACCCCTGCGACACCTTCTCCAAACTCCTCACGACCCGAGTCTCCAGGCCTCCTGCCATACAAATATATCTCTCTCATGGACCGTATCAAAGCTAAGATTGCAGATGACGAACCGTTTTTTTCACTAGAATTCTTTCCTCCAAAGACTGAAGAGGGCGCTGTAAATTTGGTTGCCAGGTATGTTGTGCATAATTATCACACAAGAAGCAATCTGTTATCATTGTCACATCCCACATAATTAAATGAATGGGCAGTTTTTTTTTTTTTTTTGACAAAGTTGCCTGATTTTTTCATCACCCGACTGGCATGAAAATAACGTAAAAATTTTATATGATGAGGGGAGGGGCAGGAGAATTTAGTAAATCTTTTTATCAGCAAATAAAAATGTTTTTGGGGTAGTGGGAATTTTTCTGGCCAAGTAATGGGGAACACTTGCCCAAAGGATGACAGAAAAACCTTATTGTCAACTCCTGAACACTGTTTTAGTTATGACAGTTTTACAAGATTGCTTATTCAGTGTTGTTACTTTTGTGTTAAGTATGGCAGTATGTTTAGTCCAGCAGTGTTTTAATTTTAATAAGGTCTTGAGTGCAAATGAGTGTTTAGGTCAATTTTCCTAAGTGGCATGACAAGTCTTGATGATGTCAGCCCCCCTGGTGGTGCTTTTACAGCTGGCACAACATGCTCCCAGAAGTCTCTCGTATTCTCTTTCAGGCTTGAGCGCATGTTATTGGGAGGTCCCCTCTTCTGTGACATCACATGGCACTCCGCGGGAGACCCAACCTCAGACAAGCACACCAGCTCCACAGCCATTGCAGGCACCATGTTGAATTACGTTGGCATGGAAACCATGCTTCACCTGACTTGCATCGGTGCGTCCAAGGCAACCATGATTAATCAGCTGGAGAGAGCCAAGGAGTTGGGTATTAGGAATATTCTTGCTCTGAGAGGAGGTAAACATGATATGTTATTTTATAAATGAATGGATATTTGATGTGTTATCACACCTTACTCACTGTAACACCTAACACATTGTCACACTTAACACATTCTCACACTTGGCACACCGACACTCCAAAGGCACAAAAATTTACCGATGGTATGTACTGTTTCCAACTATATCGCACTAAATTTTTGAAAAAATATTATAGATTTGAGTCAATTTTTTCTGTCATACTTAACACAGTTAAAACTTTTAGAATTGCATGTCCTTTTTCAGAATTGTAACACACTGTTAGATTATAGACTCAGAAAAATAAAAACCTGTTTTTTATAGGTGAGATGCTTTAATGTAGTGTGCAATTCCTTTTTTTAACCCTTCAGATGCCAAGTTTGGCGAGGAGTGGAAACCAGAGCCTGATGGTTTTAACTATGCCACAGATCTTGTCAGGTTTATCAGGCTTCACTATGGAGACTATTTTGTTATCTGTGTAGCAGGTGAGAAAGCAGTGCCACACCCATGTCGCACTTCAGTACCTAAGTACCCCCTTACATCCATAATTGTTAGATGAGTTACATTAAACTTTCACACCTAACATATTGTCAGACCTTAAACTGAGAGGCCAAATCATGCTGCCATACCCAATGCAATGTCACATCCAACTTGCTGTCATACTTAACACATTGCCACACCTTACACTGAGAGACAAATTCACACTGCCACACCCAATGCAATGTCACATCCAACTAGCTGTCACACCTAACACATTGTAGCATACGCTGTCACATCCAGCGTACTATAAATACGGGTGAAATCCCTCATCACAGTATTCATTTCATTATGTAGGTTACCCTAGTGGGCATCCCGATTGTGAATCCTATGAAGCTGACCTTCAGAACCTGAAAACGAAAGTAGACGCTGGAGCCGACTTTATAATCACACAGCTGATTTTCCAGTCAAAGACTTTCCTGAAGTATGTGCAGGACTGCAGGAATATCGGCATTACAGTTCCTATACTGCCAGGAATAATGCCATTTCAGGTGAGAAATGGTCACTCTTACATATAGGTTTGCTTTAACCTTTGTAATAATAATAATAATTGTCCATTTTTGTTATACAATTTTGTCATATATCTGATTAACTTGTATTTTTTCATTAACAACTTATTTGTTGTTAAAAATTCATTTAGCTAATTGTGTAATTCACTGGAATAAGTTCAATACTTTGTATCTTTGTTATTTTAGAATTAATCATGTCTCAAATTATTTACACTTTTCTGTTCTTAGTATATTTATATAATATAATCACCAATTTTTTAGCTGTATTTTTAACTGCCCCCCCCCCTCCCCAATCATTGACAAGTGGGATCTGTCCATGTGGCTTTTATGTCTTATTCTTATCTAAACTTGTTTTTCAGTCTTATCAGTCACTGCGCCATATCACACGTTTGTCTAAAATGGAAATCCCACAAGAAATTTTGGATGAAGTGATTCCAATCAAAGACAATGATGAAGCAATCAGGAACTGGGGTATTGACATTGCATACAGAATGTGCTCAGAAATCCTTGCCGCAAAAGGAGCGCCTGGCCTCCATTTTTACACTCTGAACAGAGAGGTTGCCACTGTATCTGTTCTGAAGAGACTCGGAATGTGGTGTGAGGAACCAAAGAGAATGTTGCCATGGAAACCAACAGCCAATCACATCCGCTGTATGGAGGACGTGAGGCCGATATTCTGGAGGGCGCGTCAGAAGAGCTATGTTCAGCGTACATCAGACTGGGAGGATTTCCCTAATGGCAGATGGGGAGATTCATCCTCAGCAGCCTTTGGGGCCTTGAAGGACCATTACCCATTCTATCTTACCAGTAAATCTTCACATGAAGAGTTGTTGTCCATGTGGAAAAAAGAACTGAATAGTGAAGAGGATGTTTGGGATGTTTTCTACCACTATATCACTGGGGAGGCATATGACGATGGTGTGAAGGTGAAAATGTCTTTATTATATATTCTTGATCACTACACTGTCACACCTAACACATTCTTAAGGACAAGATTTAGTTCTGTGCATTCGCTAACTAAAAAGTTTAAATTCTGTTTTTCAATATATCATTTTGTAAACAAAAAATATATCATGTATCATTTTCTGTAGCTTCTACAAACTGTATTTTCATTTCGACCTACACACACACAAAAATTCTTCAGGTTCCTTATTTTATCTTCACCCCAGGTTACCAGGCTACCATGGGAGGATGACGAGGTAACCCTGGAGACCAGCCTCATCAGCTCAGAACTAGCCTCCATCAACAGGAAAGGGGTGCTGACCATCAATTCTCAACCAAGAATTAACTGCGTCCCCTCCACAGACCCTGCCGTGGGATGGGGGAGCCATGATGGGTACATCTTCCAGAAGGTAAGGGTCGTTCATCC